AAGTATATCATGAAACTGAGAACATAATTTTTTCAACACAGGTAGAGAGGGATGTCCTAATTGACAATGTGTTTCAAATGAAGAGATAACAGTAGAACAAACAACTGATCGAAACATGCAGGTATCGAGAATATAGAGACCATCTGATATTTTCTTTACCGATAGTCTGTTTCCTCATAAGATCTTGAAGAATACAGTGATCAGGAAAGAATGTAATACAACAATTCAAATCTTTAGTTAACTTCCTTATAAAAATCATATTAAAAGTAAGTTTAGATAAACTTAACACAGATGAAAGGGCAATGGATGAAGTTGGTTTTGTAGTTCTGGAACCCACAATGTTATAGGTCAACCCATAAACAATAGTTATAGGAAAATGTGTTTTGTATGGTCGAAAATTAGAAAAAATATTAGAATTACTTGTCATGTGATCTGTAGCACTAAAATCAATCACCCATCTATTCGAGAGAGAGATAAGATATTTTTTCTTTAATTCAGTAAGAACAGAAAATTTATTTAAAGATTCTTGATACTGCGTGAATTTAGCATACTCGTCAGCTGAAATCATAACAATTCTTTCAGAAGATGAGGTAGCAGTAGCAGCAACAATATTAGTGGTTTGTATCATACAATTCTGCAATTTCTTATAATACCGCTTTATATGCTCTTGTTCACGGCAGCAATAGTAGACAATATCCATTTCAATTCAGAAATTACAAGGAATATGGTACTCAAAATACTCAAAATACTCAAAACATAACAGTTAAAGATATTCGAAAACCATCGCAAATAAAAATTTCTTTTTAAGAAAACAGAATACCTCTTTACCCACAGAAACTAAGAGAACCACACTGCCACCACTAGAGCTCACGCGCCACCGTCGGAAAGCCACGTGTTGCTGTCAGAAAGCCATGCGCCGCCGTCGGAAATTACCAAAAATCCTCCTTTCGCCCGGAAGTCACCATAGAACCCCATTGCACACCTTAATCCAGAATGGTGCTCGCAGAAACGCCCCAAATCACATCGGAAAGCAGAGAATCACTTGTTGTTGCATGATCTCCTCCGCTGCAGTTTTCCCTTCTTCAGCCTTCTAGTTTTGTGCACAGAACTTGCCGACCAAACTCTTCTGTGGCTTCTTTCTTCGAACAGGAAACCAACACGCACGAGAATCCCTCCTCCATTAAATTCGATGCACGTAGCCATAACTGCCGCACAAACCTTCTCCTCGGCTTCTCCCGCATACATCAACATACTGGCCGCACTCTGAACTGACCGGAGATAGGTGGTTGTCTTTCTCTGGCACCGAGAATGGGTTGTTCAACCCTTCTTGTAGTATGATATAATATTGACCCCTAAAACCCTAAATCTAACTCTAGCTCTGATATCATGTAAAAATTAGGAAAAAAAAATTCTGAATATTTATATTTCATTACATAGAGTTAGGGGTATATATACATAGAAGAAGAATCTATTTATAGAAACATAAATCACCCTATTAATGTTAGGAAATCAACTAATAATTACATAAAAATATTTCGTAATATATTTTATAATATTTTAACACTATTTATAATATAGGATTGATAAGAAGCTTTAATTGATATTAAGGTAGGGGCTATAAATGATCAATTAAGAGGTCTAATAAAAGACATAAGAACTTGTTGATCTTCTATTAAGAAATGAACTATGGATGATTAGATAAGAGATCTAATAAAAAACAAGACATAGGAACTTGTTGATCTTTTCTTAAGAAATAAACTAGTGGGAAGAAGATCGGGTGTTTATTGTAAGAGATTCAAGGCTCAACTAGTAATAAAAGGATTTTTCAAAACTTATGTGATTACCTATCAATCATTTGCCCTAATTGCGAAAATGAATACTATTAGAATTCTCTTAGCATGTGTAGTCAATCTTGGCTAGAACCTTGAATAACCTAATGTGAAAAATACTTTTTTACAGGGCGACTTAGATGAGGAATTCTTCATGGAATTTCCTTTAAAATTTAAACTTGAGAAAAGTCAGCAAAACATGTGTAAATTGAAAAAAAATACTCTGTGGGTTAAAGTAAACTCCTAGGACGTGATTTTACTAGATTCAGTAATGTTATGACCCTTTTTGAGTATAATCAAACCAATGCTAATTATATTTTATTCTTCAAATGCTAAGATAGTAATATTACTATACACCTATGTGGACGATATACTAATGACAAAGGATCATACGAAAGAAATAGTGAGGCTGAAGAAATCCCTTACATCAGAATTCGAGATCAATGACTTGAATAGGGAGAAAATTTCTTGGTATTCAAGTTACTAGATTAGGAAAAGACATCTTCATTTCCCAATGCAAATATATTTTGGACCTCCTTAAAGAGATAGGTGATTGGGTTGTAAACCAGCTGATACCCTCATCGAAGCAAGCCATAAACTACAAGATGGTATCAGTAAACCAGTAGAAATTGGTAGATATTCGAGATTGATTGGAAGATTATCTATCTCCATCACACCAAACCTGGTATAGCTTATGCTACGAATGTGGTAAGTCAATACATACATGAGCCTTGAGATCTATATCTCAATTCAGTTAATTGCAATTGAGGTACATAAAGTCCGCATTGGAAAGACAACTAATTTTTTTCTAAGAATGATCACTTCAAGATAAAAGATTTAATCAATGTAGATTTGGTTGACTCTCCTGATGATAAGAACTCTACACTTGGATATTGCACATTTATTAGAGAAAATTTGGTTACTTGGAGGAGTAAAAAACCGATTATTGTGGCAAGATCAAGTATCAGACTTCAATATCAAGCTATAGCTCAAGAAGTGTGTGAGCTACCATGGCTTCAGAATTTGATGAACGAATTGATGTTAGAAAGGAAAGACTGTCGTGTTATATTATCACAACAAACACTATAATTAGTGTTACATGTAATTTAGTTACATATGGTAGAATAAAACATATTGAAATTTATCGACATTTTATCAAGGAAAAAAGAAGTTGTGATATTCTAAATATTTTCAATATAACCTCTGAATTACAACTTGCAAATGCCTTCAATAAAGAACTCGGAAATAAGTTATTTCATAGTTTGATTTGCAAGAAGGACATGAGAGGTATTTATGTACCATCTTGAGGAGTATTGACTACCGAGATTATTGAGAAAATAATTTATTATTTTGTAAATATTCCTTAATATAAATCCTAAATTAGTAATATCTATATATAGTTTCTTTTCTGAACCGACGTAGTGCATATAAATATGTAAAAAGTAAATCAGTATTACACATCAAAAACCTCATTCTTCACTTTGGTTTGTCTCTTTTCTTTGATTTGGACTACGGACTACAACATGTTCATAATGAAAAAAGCTGTTTACCCTCATTTTTTTAGTTTTCCATTTTGTTTCTACTTTTTATTTGAATGTATTCTAATCTTCTTCCCCAGCCATGACTTACAAATATGTCTCCTTTTATTTCTTTATGAGCTTTTATAACTTGAATGCATGCAATTGTTATTGGAACACTTAGATAGACCCTAATTAGTTAGCTATTACCATAGGGCAGCTGTCTATCATCTTTATGTCCTATTTAATTTCTTTTCTCATATTTTTAATAGAGTAGTGTATTTTGGGTTCTAATCCCGTCGTTACCAACATTGATTGATTTAAATAATATGATGTGTTTTTTTATGCAAATTGTTTTATTTATTTATTTTCAATGAGGTTAATACAATAGTCAATTTGCGTTAATACATTTGTGATTGGTTAAGATTGTTGCTGAAGAACTGGTGTTCTTTTTTCAAAAATTACTTTTGTAGGGTTGACTTGCTTGCAAAATTAGAGAACTCCATTAACTTGCAAATGGAAATAAACGCAAAAGCAGTGATGCACCACCGTGGATTTTGCTTTGTGGGAGATTGTTATGCCAAATGATACTATTCAAGGTCTTATCAGAATGAAATAGATGAATTTGATGCTCTATGAACTGCGAATATATTCATAGGAAAGCTTTATATGGGGCAAAAATGGATATCGTCTTGTACCTTTCTAGAACTGTGGTGTTATCCTCTGCTGGCGCTGAGCTTGATATTGAAACTTGAATGGCTGATTTTTGTGGTACTACTCTCTCTGAGAGGAACGTCGACCAGGTAGTTTGCTGTCAAATCGTAGAATATCTTTCAGTGTCAGCATATATTGACGTGACACTAGTCTGGTTAGTTCTATTTTTTAGTGTGATTTGAAGAAGGGTTAATTAACATCCAAAGTTAAAGGATTCTTTCTGGATTTATGTTGCTGTCTTAAAAGTAATTTCCTCTGTAACTGTTTTCTTTTTCTGGATAGGTTAAATTTGGTATTGTGAATGCTATTTCAGGGAAATTTAGGTTAGTATTATTTTCTAATGCATGTAAACCTTTCATCTGTTTAGGCCATTGCAGCTCTAAAGAAAGGAGCATATTTGCTTAAGCATGGGCGTCGTGGAAGGCCTAAGTTTTTTCTCTTTCGGCTTTCTAATGTATGTGTCTTTTTATTTATGAAAAATTTGGAATTATTATCTGGTTCTTTTCATTTTCTTTAATGTGATTCTGTTTACACAAATTTACATTACGTGTATTGTTACACTGAAATATTCATTTTTCTTTCATAATTAGTAGTAGACCTCCCAAAAATACCACAATAAGTGAGCATGAAGTGATTAAGTTTGGCAGTAAAGTTCTTGTTAGATTTAGCCCAGGCATGATTTTGAGTAATTTGTGAATTGTGACTAGGATCAGATTGTTATTTTCTAGGTTCCAGGAACCTCACTAGGCATGATGGTGAGTAACTTCACTAGGCATGATGGTGAGTAACTTCACTAGGCATCAATTGGACGCCATCCATGCACGGGAGTAAGGAAATAGGACTTAGGGTAGATGTAGGTCTCAAAATTCTCCCTCATGCATGAGAGGTTGATCACTGAATCATTAACTTAGAATCTGAAACCTAGTTGTCTCTGATCTCCTTTTGTTTTGTTTCTTAAAGCAACACTAGAATACCAAAGGTGCTAGTGAGATTATCCTTTCTTTTTCTTAGTTGCTTCAATTCCATCCATGTCCAAAATTCTGTTGTAACAGAACTTTCTACCACGCAACTAAGCGTCAAATATAATGCTTGTTACAATATTAGCATGATGTTGTGGTCTAGTAAACCAAGTTTTAAGGAAATAGTATAGAAGAGAAGAAAGATTGGAAATCAAAGTAGACTTGATAAGATTTATTTTCTGTTTTAGTTTCAGCAGGTTACGTTTTCCTGTCAAATTTTATGTCCAGCATCAAGGTTGATGGGACCGAATGGAAGATTGAAAATTGCTGTACTTTTTGTAATGTTCACTAACTTTTCTCAATAATACTTCTATTTTTTATTAAATAAAAGCATCGAAGGAGGCAGTTGCGGAGTTCTATTCCCGGCTTTACACTGAGACTGAAACATGGAGACTTGAGTTGGGTGGTATTGCTTTTGACAGATTGGCTTGAGAGAGATTTTTCTGAAGATGAGATAAGGACAGCCTTGAATGAGTATGGTGGGGCAAAACTCCTAACCTGGATGGTTTCTTTATGGCTTTTATAAAAATAGCTGGGATTTTTTTGTGGGTTAGATTTTGGACTTGTTTGAGGAGTTTCATGAGACAAATTTTTTTACTCTCTAAATTCAGCTTTCTTGGCCTTGATCCCTAACGTGAGCATGCTTTAAACTTACAGGATTGTATGTTTATTAGTTTATAGGCAGTGTTCACATGTTACTCGCCAAAGTTTTAGCTTTAATATTTAAAAGGGTGGTCCTGTCCTTAAAGTGGTGGGTGTAGCTCAACATGCCTCTGTTGAAGTCTATTATCTTATGGATTTTGCCTTAGTTGTTCAGGAAGTGATTGATTCGAGCATCCATTCATGTGGTATTTGGATGTTGAAAAAACTTATGACCATGTTTTATAGTCTTGAATCACCAATGGGGAAGAATGGGTTTTATGGAGGAAATGGATAAGGAGGAGATGTATATCTACTGCTTTTTTGTCATCTTGGTTAACGGGTCCTTTGAAGTTCTTTCACTCTTTTAAGAAGCCCCAACAACGATATCCTCTCTCTCTCCCACTCTCTTTTTTATTTTGTTTTGTTTTTTCTTTTTATTTTTTTTAATTTTGGTAATGGGGGCTTTTAATAGAATGTTGCTAAAAGCAAAGGAGGCAAATGTGAGGATCTTAGTGTTAGAAATGAGGAAGGGAGTAAGGAGGTGACAAATCCTTTTGCGAATGACTCATTTATTTTGCAGGCTGGACAAGAACTATATACTTTATCTTAGATACCTTCTGGTGTGTTCTAAAGATGTGTCAAGTCCAAGAATAAATCTAAATAAATTTGAATTGGTGGCTTCTAGGGATGGTGACTTATGGAATGTTTTTCATGTGTAAAGTTAGTTATCTCCTTCTAAAATATTTGGATTTGCCTATTCGAGCCAAATTTAAAGACAATATGTGGGAGAAAACAAGCTTAAAGATGGAAAAATGACTAACTTATTGGAAATGAGGACGTCTTCAAACATTGACAGACTCACCCTTACTAAAAGCACATTGTCTAATCTTCCACTTTATTTCTTATCTTTGTTCCAAATCCTGTCTAAGGTGGTGAAACATTTGGGTCTGTAGAATGCCTATTTTAATGGAATTACGATGAGGCTCAGAGGATTATCACCTTGTCGATTGTAAAATGTGAAAAAGCCAATCTCTGAGAGAGGTTTGGCTATTGTTGGCTAAACTGTTGTAGAGATTTATAAACAGCAAGGCACAACTTTGGTGAGAGGTGGTTCAGACTAAGTTTGGTACTCAAGATAGGGACTGGAGAACCAGTTAATACAGACACCCTTGTGGTACCAGTTTGTGGAGGTGGATTTCTAGGGTTGCTTTTCATGGGGTGATCCTGATGAGCAAAGAAGATTCCATTTGGTGGCTGGGGTTATGGTCAAACTTCTTTTGGATTTGGGTGAATTTGGTACCAATGGTGCCATTGAGAAAAAATGCCTCTTAGTTAAAAGCTTTTGAACTTTATAACCGGGGCTGTCTATGGCAAATGGTGATCAGGGAAAAATATAGGTGGTTGGAGAAGAGGTGTTGCATGACTAAAAGGGTATGGATCCTTATGGTATAGTCTTTGGAGTTTGATTAACAAGGGATTGGAAAGATTTTGCAATTTGTATCCAATCCAAGGTGGGATATGTGAACAGTTTATGTTGGGATGGCGTTTGGTTTGGCTCTTCTATGCTCCTCACATGTTCACCAATTTGTTTCCGTTGGCTAGAAGAAAAGGTGGTTTTCTGTGCAACCATTTCTTAGAGTTTGGTGGTCTAAGTGGTGTTGGAGGTATTTTTTTTTTTTCAAAGGAACTTCAATAACTAGCAAAAAAATGACTAGTGTTCTTTTATTGCATGAAATCGAAATCATGCTGATTTTCTACTTATAGGGAGGATGGACCTGTGTGGAAGTTTTGCTCAAAAAGCTCATTCTCAGTCAAGTTGTTCCATCTCCATATCGACCAGCCTTCTGCTAGTCCATCACGGTTCTCTCAAAAGTAGATTGGAGGAAAATGACTCTCCTGGAATAGCTAATTTTTTTCTTGTTTTACTTGGCTATCTGCTTATTCTCACTATTGATAATCTCATCGAACATAGTGAGACTATGGTGAATGGATCTTGATCATTTTTGCTAAGGTGCAGTTTCTCATCTCGAATGTGGTCTATGATTTTGATACTTCTTAAAGTTCAATGAGTCATGGATGGCCTGGTAGTGGATGAGTTGTGGGTGTGGCCAGGTATCCTGACTGATAAGAGAAAAAAAGAGATTAGTTTCTCATCTCTCAGGTTGCTTGGTGGATTATTTGGAAGAAAGGAGATAAAAGAGTTTTTGGGGGCATCTGTTATTTTCTTATTAGCATCTGAGATGAGATGTTGGTTCAAATCTTTATTTTGTTGTTCAAGGGCTGTATGCTCAATTTGATAGAAGATCTAGGAGAGATCAATGAGGTTTTGACTAACATGTAAATTATTTCTTTTGCTTTCTTTTGTAAATTTTCTGGAAACTGAATACATTTCTTTTATAGGTAGGACCAGGTT